TCTTCTATATAATTCGAAAATAACAGGGTAGACTTAAATATTACTCAAGATGATTGCGAAACCTCTGCATAGCTCCTACAGTAAGAACAGAGAGAGAGATAGCGGCATGAAAGACATTTAAGGTAGTTGTCACACATTTTGAAACATATAAATGAGAAGAAATCCAGTAAAATACTCAAGACACCAATTTAAACAATCTGTCAAAGCGAAAGTCACTTTGTAAAATAAAGTCCCTTTACTTAAGTGAAAGAAAACTAAGCTGTTTATCTATAAATCAAACCAAAATTCTAAACTCCGTAACACTGTAGCACACATTTCTGTAACACAATAACACAGTTTCATAGTTAGAGAGTTGTTTAGCGTAAAAAAGAAAATATTTTTCTTAGGAACGTTGAATATTAAAAAGAAAGAGCTAGAAAAAATATTTTGGGTATTCTCCAAAAACTCTTGTGTCAAATTAATACATTTTAATAACAATATTCTTTCAATTTAATATTCACAAATGGAAAATCAAATTGATTTCTAAAAGAGTACTATGGTATATGTTATCCTCACTAATTTATAATGCTATAATAAAAAGCGACACGCCATGTGGTTTTGACAGAATGAGTTTATAATATTATACTCAAGAGAGACATTAATTTCTAAGACAACCTCATCTATTTTTTGTTTCGTTTTTTCTATATCAATTATTCGATGTTAAATTCGCTGTATCTATTAGAACACAGCTAGTGGTATTTATATAATACAGTTCTAAATTTATTAGGAAAATTACTATTTTCATTAAATATTGCAAAATGAGCTCATTGTATTATATACAAGAGAGACTTTTAATTTTTAAGACGACCTCGTCTATTTAAGGTTAGTTATAACACATTTTGAAACATATAGATGCAAAGAAACCTGGGAAAATACTCCAGCTGCCAGTTTAAATATTCTTTCAAACAGGAAGTTACACGGTAAAATAAAGTCCCGTTACTTAAGTGAAAGAGAATTAAACTGTTTATATATAAATCAAAACAGAATTCTAAATTCCGTAACACTGTCGGTCATTTTCATAGTTAGGAAACTGTTTAGCCTACTAAAGAAAATATTTTTCTTTGGAACTTAAAATATTAAAAGAGAAAGAGCAAGAAAAAAAACATTTTTTTTTCCAAAAATTCTTGTGTCAAATTAATACCTTTTATTAATAATATTCTGTACACTTAATATTCACAAACGCAAGAAAAAATTCAATTTTAAAATGGTTATATGGTATATGTTAGTCTTGCTAATTTATAATGTTATAATAAAAAGCGACACGCCATATGATTTTTAACAGAATTCCATCGTATTAGGCACAATAGCTACATTTATTTCTATATAAATCTAGTTATTATAGTTATTTATATATAAATCTTTCTAAATTCAAGGACATTGTATGCCACTTTTATAATTAGGATATTATTTAGTCTATTAAAGAAATTATTCATCTTCATTTGAATATTTAACAAGAAAAGCTAGAAAAAAACACTTTGTGCATCCTCCAAAATTCTTGTGTCAAATTAATACCTTTTATTAATAATATTATTTCCACTCAATATCCGCCACTCAATATTCACAAACGCAAGACCAAATTGATTTTTAAAAGGGTAATATGGTATATGTTATCCTCACTAATTTATAATGCTATAATAAAAAGCGACACGCCATGTGGTTTTAGACAGGATGAGTTCATCATATTATACACAAGAGAGACATTTATTTCTACGACAACCTCATCTATTTTTGCTTTCGTTTTACTGTAAGTAGACGACATTTCGACAGAAATCTTTCCTAAACAACTTATTCAGCTTTAGTTTCGTCATATCTATTAAAGCACATCTAGTGGTGTTTATATATATAGTTAATTTATTAGAAAATTACTACTTTCATTAAACATTTATCTTAAGAGATAAATGACTTAACTTAATTAAAAGAATTTTATGAAATACATTAATGAAATGAATTATTTGCATTTGCATAATTTGAAAATTACGCAAATGCAGATAATACATTCGTATATATTTTGTTAGCTTATCAATATTCCAATTGGTTATGTACTCGTTTCATTAATAATTAATATACTACAATTTCTCATTTTGTGATAATTGAAAGAGCTTAAATTGATGCTCATTTCAATTGATACTAAAATTTCTTGCTTCATTTACTCTTAGTGTTTAATACTATTAATATGGAAATCCGATATACTAATTAAATAATATTTTTCTGAAAGCAGGCTCCAATTTTTGAAAATGAATTTTTTACTGCATTCAATAGCAATTTTTAATAATATCAATATACATTTCAGCAGTATATAATAATTTAATATTTTTAACGTATATATTACTACTTTATAAAGTTATTAAAATTTATTTTGAAAACATTATTAGCAATATTAAGAGACATTCAGAAGCAAAATTTAACTAATATAAGCAGAATTATACGCATGTAATTATTATATTAATTTATCTCTTCATGTTAATTAAAATTCCAAAAATATCAACATCTTCTATTTTCTTTTTTTTTTTAAATCTTGTTCAGAAATTTAAAGAAAACGAATAAGTATTGCATAGATTTTTATTTTTAAAAAATTTTTTATAATTTAAGAATGCAAATCTTTAGCAACAGTTTTTAAATGGTATATTTCTAATTTTATTGAAATGCAATATACTGTGATATTGATATAACATGGTCATATAAATAGACTATATAATATGCCATACTCTATGACTATATATTATGTATGGAAATATTCACTTATAGACTATGGTCATATAAAATACATTTATATGACCATGTGACGTATATATATTTTAGTGTAGATATTAAGAGTAGTATAAAATAAATAATCATTCCTACAAAATCAAAGTCTTCCCTCTGAGTTATTTCAGATAAATAATTTAATTCTGTAACAATGAAATATAAATAAAAAGTACATTTTAAATCTTTCTTCAAAATTAAATAATTTAATTGTATTAGACAAAAGTATTCATTCTACTTGCTTGTGTATGTGATAGTCATTTAATATGAATTAAAGGAACAAAATTTAAAATAATTCTTCAATAACATAAAAAAAAAATATTTTCTGAATATAATATTTAACATGTTGACACTGTTAAAATTAATAATAGATAAACATCACATTTTTTTTTGATGATTTCATTTAACTGCTTATTTCAGAAACGTAGTAAAAACAATAAAAATATTATAATTCGGATTTCTTTAGTTTGTAAGTTTTCTTTTAACATTATAAAAAGAAAAACAATTAAAACTGATGAGTTTAAAATACAGTTAGAGGAAAAGTTAACATCTGTTTAATTTGTAATGATATTAAAAGCTACGAAAATCCTGTGTTGTCAGTAATTGTTTGGGACTGGCGTCCGTGATGAGCATGGAAGTCAATAGAAACTGATAGATCTCAATTGAAACAAATGAGAATCAAACTATAGCCCCCATTTTCTAATTCGAAAAATTACTTAGACTCAAAAAGTACTGGTTTTTTTTCTTACTTTTCAAAGAATTGCTCTTTAAGTAAAAGACTTAAAGACGAAAAGAAAAGGAAAAAAAGGAGATTAAGAAATGCAGGAGAACAAAAAGATTTAAAGACTAATGCTCTCCATTTTCTACAAATCTGGTGGCATCAAGAAGTTCTCATTCCGGATTTCTTTTAAAGGACGATTCAGAAAGGCCTGATTGAAGTAACTAATGAATTCGTTCAGTTAGAAAGTTCCGAATAAAAAAACCTACTGGATAAATTCCTTTTCGGGTGATTGTATTTTAATTTAATTAATTAACTAAACGAATGGTGAAACATGTAATGTCACTCGTTAACATATTAAGACTGTCTTTATGTATTTTTTACCCTGTAAAAAAGTAAATAATTCAAATACTTTTAATGTTTCAAAATTGACTTATAATACCAAACGACATTTTAATTTATTTTTAATGAACTGCGTTGTACTTAGAATCATAAAATAATAATTACTGCCTAGTTATGCATTAATATGAAATGTTTGGTAAGAGCGAACATTGAGTGGCTTCCCATTAAATGGATGAAAATGATGCTTTAAAAATGAAGCGTTATGTTTTTTTGTTTTTTTTTAGTTTAAATGTATAAATGAAGAACATTTATTATTTCTTTTGTTATAAAGAGTTTTTTAACTTCATTATGTTTCCTTTTAATATTTTATTTGGCTACACACTTTAGACTTTAATTACATTTCATTAATATTTCAAAATACTTCATATAGTTAAATATTTAAATTGTTTTAATAAAGTTGCAATTAAATATTTTATTAAATGATTAGCAATTATTCTAGAATTTAAAACTACAATACATTTATGAATCAGAAATGATAATTTTTTAACAGAATAATCATCGTTAACGTAATCATCGTAACAATAGTATAATTAACATTAGAATAATTATTTGCTATAAAAACCACATAATGATACGATACGAGAAACTCTAAAGAAATGAAATGAATCGATATTGCATGGTTAAATAATAATATTTAGCAGTTTTTGTTAAAATTACAAAAATTTTTAGAGAATTTATTTCATAACTTAATTCATTTTTTTTCATATTTTATCAAATCGTATTGTATATACAGTAAAGCCTTTTGTATATATAAATTACTAAATAATTTGTAGGTGCTTATAAATCATTAAATTATATTGTGGTGTATATAAATTAGTAAAGCATTTTGCACTGTGTATAAAATATTAAAAAATTTTGTACTGTGTTTAAAATATTGGAGCATTTTGTAGTGTGTATAAACTATTAAACCATTTTGTGTTATTGTTTCTTATCCCACTTGACTGGCCAAGACCACGAGCCCATACGTACTCATGATTGAAGTGTAACAGCTTCTGTTGTGATGGAAATATTTGGCTCCGTGAGCATTTTCCGGCTAAAGTGAATTCGAATAAAACATATTAAACCGATTTTTCAGGTCCCAAATTTGTATATGCCAAATTTCCTATGGTCAAGCCAAGTACTGACCGCGCCCAATGATGCTTGACTTCGGTGATCTAACGAGAACCGATATATTCAGCATTGTATGGCCGTTGGCCATTTGTACCATTTTGTAACCATTTTGTAATGTATAAAAATTATTAATGCCTCTTATTCTGTGTATAAATTATTAAAGCATTTTTAATTATGTACAAAATATTAAAGCATTTCGTAGTGTGCAAAAAATTTTAAAGCTTTTTGTAGTGTGTATAAAATATTAAACCCTTTTGTATTATGCATAAATTATTAAGCGCTTTTGTATTATGTGTAATTATTAAAGCATTTTTAATATGTGTAAATTATTAAAGCATTTTTAATGTGTGTAAATTATTAAAGCATTTTATAGTGAGTATAAATTATTAAAACATTTTGTAGTGTGTATAAACTATTAAAGAATTCATACTGTGTATAAATTATTAAACAATTTTGTAGTGTGTGTAAATTATTAAAGCATCTTGTAGTTTGTATTATTTATTAAAGCATTTTTAATGTATATCAAATATTAAAATATTTTTAGTGAGTATAAATTATTGTAGCGCTTTGATTCTTAAAAATTGTATTAATGTTTCTTTATGTTATTCTTCATTCGTAATAATTTTCATATTTTTATAGATGCCGAAAAATGTTTTCAAAATTCTGAACCCCAATTACACTCATAATTGATGGCAGATGTTCCGTGTCTCTTAGAAGTAATAACCTCATTTTTTCACCATAACATTGACTCATGTGACACCAACTAATATTTAATTTAAGCACTTCTTGCAAGCACCCTTCGTGTTTAATCACCAAACAACAACAGTACAAAAAAAAGATGTTAATGATTTTCTTTTAAAGACCTTCGCTTATTAAAAATTAATTATCTACTTGTTCGAAGTTTTTATTTATTTTCTTCTTATTTTCTCTTGTAGATAAATTTTTTTTTCCTTTGAAGTTCTCAAATTATCGAAGAAGTGAATTATAAATCAGCTGCTTTTTTTCATTATTTTATTTTGGTAAAATAAGTACACGGAAATTCTGTAATCTAATACATATCGATTAATATTAATGATGCTTTTTGATTAAAAACCATTTTAAAAAAACAAGCACTTAAAATTTATAATGCAATAAACAAGACTCCAGAACGCTTAATATTAAACATGCTCAAATTTTATGTATGAAAATAAACATACGTTAAATGAAATTTTACGATGAATTTTAAAATATTTTTGGTGCAATTATTCAACCATGATAATGAATCATTTTTGATGTATTCTAATTTAATGTAATAATGGAATAATTGAAGTTTTAACGGTTAAGTAATAGAAAAAAAAAATACTACTCCGCATATAAAGAGAGAATTATTAACGAAAATAAAACACCCACTTTACACAAAATTTAGTGTAAATAAATATGTTTAGTTATAAACACAATTTTAAAAACACTTGCCAAATAATAGACAGTCTAAAAGCTAATTTAATAAATGACAGCAGGTATGATGATAAAATAACTGATAATAGGGATGGTGATAAAAGGACAAATGATAACAGTATAATAAATAATTATCAGGGACTTGCCCAATATTTGGTATATCAATGAAAGTGCTCTCTACGTAAATATGCAGAAAAGTAAATATGTATAATATTTACATATATGCATGTAAATATGCATAAAATTTACATATTATGATGAATGTAAATATGCATAATATAAGTATAACTGTGAACATAATTTAATTAAGAGAGTGAGTTTGCGAAGAGGACAGAGTGCGAGACTTTTTATAGGGGTATGGGCACACAAATTAGAGGATTCTATGTAATAAATATAGTTGCGGTAAATTTTAGAGTGTCGTAATTCGTTAACAAAGAAGACGTTTTCATTTCCAGCAATATCAAATTAATTAAAAATGATTCCTACATGAATCTCCAAGTCCTTTTTTTAGATCATATTTTCAAAATCTTGGCTTCAACTGTCAAGCCCATCCCGACTTGTGGCTCACTAGCTACGTGAACCACTGGTGAGTAATAAGGCTGAAGTTCAATCCGCAGGCAGCTACGTTGTAGACACTGTTTCAAAAACGAGGAGTTTCGATGGCGTTTGTGATGTGCGCTATCATGCTTAGTTAGTCGGACTACCTGGTGTCGGTTTTCCGCGTTAAATCCTATACGATACGGAAATGTGGTGTACGTTCGCTCTAAAAGTCCCCCCCTGGAAGGACTACCCTCCTTAATAGCGACAAGACAGTAGTGACACGTAGGCAAGTGAGTCTGCCACCTACGTGTGCTCTATCACAACAAAAGCTGTCCATCTTCCTCCTTCTATGAGACATGATGGCCAATTGGCTAGCGCTTCAGCCGTTGGTACCATAGGCTTCATGTTGGAATCCTGGCTTGGACATGGTTATTTGTGAGTGGCTCAGAATTCACTTTAAACTGTAGGTCCAAGTCTGTTTAGCCCTCGTGTACACAAGATGACCATAGAGCGACAAACCAAGCCAAACCTTCCATGAGACCGCATGGGTTCATGGACAGTTTATATCGTTCAAAATGTTGCTATCGACCCGACCACGTGGATAAGGGAAAAAATTTTCAAGTCCGATAAGCATTTAACTGTAGTTCCATTTAACGTCTAAAATCATTAATGAGATGCATCACAATCCTAAAGTAGCCAAATGCAAATATACAGTTTTAGGCTATTAACTCAGTCTTTATAAGAGAATTAGCTAGATTGGCCGAATCAAGAATCCCACAGCTCTTGCTGTCATCCTTGCAGTAACGGATAGAATACGAAACAAAGCGCTCACTTTCGATTGCCGTGGCATGGGAAATGACAATTTGGAGTCTTTGAATCAGATTAGCTGTGTTTACGACAGTGGCGATAAATGCTTTATAAATTCTTAAGAGCTTTAATTTCCTGAAAGTACTTTTCTGATCAGAACTAAATATTTATGAGATTGGGCAAACAGTATAAGTTAAGTTTCTTTCCATTTTGGGACTATTGAAAAGTGTTTTGAACGATTTTTTAGTTATTTTTCTACTTTAATTTGTGCCTGTTTATTTGTAGGAATCTTTAAGTTCCTAAAAATAAAAGGATCCTCCCAAATTAAATAGTTCCTCCTAAAGATACATATATGCAGTTCCTGCATATGAATGTTTAGTTATTTATGTGATATGTTTAGTTACAGACATAATTTTTAAAAAATTATCAAATAATATGCAGTAGTGGCAAAAACTTTTGTTAAATTTGTTTCCATTTTGTAGCTATTGTAAAGTAAGTGTTTTCATAATTTTTTTTTTCTTTTTCTACTTTAATTTGTACCTATCTCTTTCTTTTAATTTTTTATTGAACTCTGTGATGCAATAAATATTTTTTATCAATAAAAAATCTGTTTAATAAAATGAAACACTAAAATAACTACAAAAATAGCTTTATATACCATATATCGAACAAAATTGCATGTAGGGAATTTAAAACATATACAAATTATTCCAAAGTATTTAGCTCAACTGTTATAATCAAGGAACATTGTTATAAATTCATAATTTTAAACAAAATAGATAAATTAAATATAATATAATATAACATATATTAATTTTATTTGTATTTAAACGACATAAAAATTGCAATTATTTTCTTGTATGTTAATAACAAAATTAAATAGAAAAGAGGTCATATGGTTTAATTCTTTACACAAAATTTAAAAAATAATCTATGGACCTCATAATCATAAAACAACTTTAAAATATCAATCTCCACTTAATAAACAGTCTGTGCTTATTCCGAAACTACTTACAGCAAATTAAGGTTTTTAAGAGTTCATAAAGCATTTATCGCCCAGGTCGTAAATGCGACTAATCGCATTCAGAATCTCCAAATTGCAGTTTTCTATACCTTAGTTTTCTATACCTCGAAAGTAAACGCTGTGTTTCGTACCACCCCTCACGCTGAAGGGATGACAGCAAGGGCTGAGGACTCTTGCTTCTGCCAATCTCGCTAATTCCCCATAAAGCGTGGCTAATAGCCAGAAACTCTTCAGCTGCATTTGCCCACTTTACGACTTTGATGCATCAGGCCGAATATTCTGAAGGGAAATTGAAACGGATTAAGGGGAAATGTCTTGATGGGTGTGAAGGCTGAGGCAAAGGATAGAATTCCTAGAGCTCTACTTTAAAAGCAGCGAGATAATAATATTTATCTTCCTATATGTAATTGAGTTTTAAACCCTTCGTTTACGATATAATTTATTCATTAATTTTATATAATTTAAATAATATGTGTTATGTAGAATAAAATGAGTATTTTTCTTTGTATTTGTTTTTCTTTTAATTTACGTATTTTATATTAAAATCAGTAATTTATAACAATGCTGTTTGATTATATGCTGTTATGTTAATGCTGTTTGAAGCAAAGGATAGAATTTCTAATGCTCTATTTTAAAATCCACGGGACATAAATATATATCTTCCGACGTATAATTTATAAATTAGGTTTTAATTCCTTGGTTTTAAATACAATTTTTTGATTATTTTATATATATTTAAACAATACGTGATACGTAGAAAAATATAACTTTTATTTGAATGTCTTTGTTTTTTTTAAATTTATAATTTTGTATTAAAATTAAGAATTTATAACATTTTTGTTGATTATAACAATTGAGCTAAATGTCTAGGAATAATTTGTATGTTTTTATGTTAATTTCCTATACATTTAAACAATACATGTTATGACTGAGTTTGAATGTTTTTAACATCATATCAACAATAAAAACATATAAAAATAATTAAACCTCTTTATCTTTTTGTTTTGTTTCTTTTAATTTATCATTTTGTATTAAAGTAAGGAATTTATAACAAAATATTTATTCCAAAATATTTTTTTAATTCGTTTCTAACAGTGCTTCCGCGTATACACTGCAAAAGCGTGCACTCTGTGACGTTCAGAAGAAATGGTTAACAGGCCTCCAGACTCTCATCCGAAAGGAAGTATAGCGCAACCGGTGCTGCCGCTGAGAAGCGTTTAGTTTGCAATCTCTCATTCCGAAAGGAAATATATTCAATGCAACTCTGCATAATTGTT